CGATTTATTAATATGCAAATTGGTAACTAAGATTTAATTTGGGGACAAAAATACTCGGATTTGGTGACCAAATTTTATCTAAATTTCATAAATTCGCCATGATGGTATATGAATTTTACAGGCGAATGAATGAGTTTATCATTAAAAAGGACAAGAGGATTTTTTGCGATTCACGGTGATTTACTATGATTTAAGTCATCACTTTTTATATTTATATTTAATGATTTGTCAGAATTGAGTAAAACAAATCGCATAGTCCCGATAATTGATGATCGTTCTGCATGAGGATTAATGATTAATTATTGTATGTCAAAAACAAAACTAACACAACTAAAACTAGCGTCAAACCCATCTCTTCACCATAAAACTAGAATGGTGATGTGCAATATGGGTCATCTATTTTCATATGTGCACATATGTAAGTCAATTTTGTGAAATGAATGTTTTTATAGTAAGCTGTGAAGGATATATCAGTTCAGTATGGCAAGTGTTAATACTTGGAAAAACTGTTCCTAAATAACACTTCATGATGTAATTCATAAAAAAATTTGAATCCGAATTAGAGAGGACTGGAATATGTGATGCTTTCGTAGTACGCAAGTGAATTTTTTTCACCAAGCTTTTTTTAAAAAAATTTCTTCTGAATTACGTTGCTTTGTAATGAATTGATATTTTGGATAAAAAATTTTCCGAGTTAAATCTTACCATATTGAATATAAAATTTAACCTTTTACAATTGCTACGCTTATTTCACAGAATTGCGTACGTGCATATATGATGCCGAAAAATATATGACCCATATGTAGTACATACATGCATTCTACATAAACTTATTTCCTATTAACGTTAAGATATTGTAACGTAAATTTGATACAGTGGCACGAGTTAAAGTGGCGTTTCTAAAATTAGCAAAAGTAAGTTCTCATGATCGTGGCTTAGAAACAGCCAACTTCATAGAATCTTCGATTGTTACACCTGCGGCTTAGGCGTTGTCGATGGAATGTTCTAGTGGCGGTAACACAAACGTTCTGCGGAGAACATTCCGAGGAAGCAGTGTAGAGAGAAGGAAATTGAGTATTGAGGTTAAGGCCGAAGGGAAAGCAGAGAAATCTCTGACCCTTAAGGAGGATCACGTTAAACAAGAGTTTGAGCTGTGAGAATAATAAGCCCCCCTACTTACGTAAAGATAAAAAAGAGTAGTTTCGCCTTTATACTAGAGAAGCCTATGGGTTATAAGCATATTAAACAATTAAATTTTAGGGTAGTGTTAAAAAAAAATGCAGAAACATTACATTTTTTTTAATCTATGTAACGGAATTCAGGAATCCCGTAATATAGGTACCACGAATATATAGATAACTGAAATTTTTTTTGGTTAGGCAGGAATTTTGTTATTCCGACTGTATACATGTTTGGGTATAAAGGGAATTCATATCAGCAAAGAGTAATATATTCACCTGCGTTTATTCAATTGCTTGCGCGTTATTTCGAGTACAATAATGTGAATTATAAAACCAGTTTCTTGTTAGTTTTGCTATGAATAATCGATGCAACGAAAGCCACTCGTGAATATTCTTTAAAATACTGCATGAAAATTCTTCATGATTATTTTGAAGCCACCTTTTAACCTAAGTAAAAATAATATACGCACCTATACAGTACACAAATCCGTAAATAAAGTTTGAATAGAAATTAGTTTCACCAATTTCACCAATTCAACACCAGTTTCACCAATTGTGGCGAAACTATTTCATTGTCTAATTTTTTTTTACCAACACCTTTAGTTTTGATACCCTCGAATCACTAAAACTTATCAAAGCTACTAAGAATCTTACATATTTGATTTTTCAAAGATCTTGAATGTTTTATTAATTCTTTGTGTCAAATACTAAAATGTACAAGGTAGAAAAGAAGACAAAAAATGATAGAGTTGCCAGTAAAAGTTATACGTGAAAGCAAAGTTCGTAAATTTGTAGTAATATGTATTATTCATAATTTAAAATGGATAAAACGAAATAAAACGAATCAAGAATGTCTATAATATTTAATATATATACATGTTCAGATTTTAGACCTGTTTGTAAAAAATTCTTTATAAAAACCCAACGCTCATCTTTTGATTACAAATTAAAAACCATAACGATAATTAACGTTAGTTAGTTAAAGTATATGAAATCAATCTTCATCTGTTATATTCTACGTATTAAAAGATTTAGTACTAAATTTACTTGACATATTCTTACTGTATTTCTATGGAACATCACGTATGTTTAAGAGTTTCACGAAATCTAAACCTTTTTCGATAAAGAAAAAAAAATTCACGGAATAAATGCTCCGAAAACACGAAATTGTTGTTTCACGATATAGTTTAAATGTTCATTAACGTTAATAGAATTAACATTAAATGACAAGAAAAAAAAAACAAAGTAAAGCATGCAATTCATAAAATTGGCATTTGAATGATTTTTTTTTTTTTTTTAAATAATAAAAAATCTTAAAAAATGTAATAGAAATACTACTATAAACAAACTGTACATTAGTAGTATTTCTTACAATATTAAAGTCTTTTTTTTTTATACATATAAAATAATAAAGTGGTTATTTAGGGTATATATCTGTATATAAATAAATGGATAAATATGTGTTTGTTTGTGTTTGTGATTTGGTTAATAAATAATGTGTGATGTAGGTTAAAAAATGCGTGAAATGATTTAAATAAGGAAATGTATGGAAAAAGAAAAGTCCTAGAGAAAAAAAAGTGAAACAAAAGTTTATGGTATTATGAAAAAAATGCTTAAAGATATGCCAGCTATCCAATGTTCGTCTTAAATCGATTAATATGTTGTATAATCTATAATTCTTTGTTTGGTGTGTACTTACAAAATCTAAAATGGTTCTAAAAAAAATGTGGATTTTGAATAAACGAAAAAAAACCGAATTTGTTTGAAGTTTACGAAGGAATCATAATTTTTTTGTTTGTGTAACCAAATTAAGATACGATTAGTTGTTTTCGAATTGGAATAACGTCATTAAATATTGAGTTGTTTTTGTCAGTTTCAGATTTGAATGTTGGGAACGTTGTAACATCGGTTCTACTGCGAATTAATATTTCTAAAACGTTTCGAAGGTTTGTTACAAAGCCTGTATCGGTATTTACAATTTGAACTAGATCGATTACATGTAAAGATTCTTTCATGGCGATGAAACTTATTGAAACAGTTTCACATGTTAATGGCTGTATTGGTCTAAATAAAGATTAATAAAGATTAAAAATTATTAACATAAGCTAAAGTGAACAATTAAAAATTGATCCATGCAGATGTGTATATAGTTTACCTTGTACAAACGTTATTCTCTAAACAAACGAGATCAGCGTCAAAAGTCTCGAACTCTAAATATTTATTGAGAAAGTCTGATTCATTTATAAAAGGCTCAATTTTATTCGATAGATTGCCACGTATAGAAAGCATTGAAATATCTTCATAACTATCGCTAGGAAGCTTTGTTACTATCGATAACGGTGATGTACTATTTTCTAATTGATTTTTGTTGGGAACCTTAACTGTGAATTTTTTTATTTCACTCGATTTATTGAATATAGTAATTTGTACAGTGAATATCTGACCAACCACAACCTCGGAATTAACTATAATAAATAAAAAATTAGAATTACAAAAAAAAAATAAAAATAAAAGTTAAGAGTTTGGAAAGAAAGCCTACCAGAAAATGACACAGCAACGCAATCACCACTATCAATGGCAATTTTTTGTTTCGGAACTCTACCACCAACAAGAGTTCCATTTATTGATTCAAGTGCAGTTGGAACGCTCCAATGTTTCTTAATATTTAAATCAGAATTAAAAGTTTTTATAGAGGTTGGAGTTGATACATCGGTTGATAAAAAAGCCGAATTTCTTGAAGAAACAGACGTTTGAGATACAGTGAACCTTGAGTTTTGCTGACTTTGTTGAATTATTTTATTAAGAGGTATTGAATTATCACGTTTAAGTAAACTAGATAAATCTAGCTTACAATTCCATTTAGATTCAATAACATGTATTTTCTCATTCTTTAAAATGGGTGAACCTCTTATTCTGATAGAAAGAGGACGCTGTCGGTCTTCAGCTGGAGATGATGCAGGTATCTTATTTGAAAAAATAGAAGAAACAGAACTTCTACGTGAAGATCCGCGAGAACTCATTGAAGATGATGGAAGGAAATATTGTTGTGTAGGGAGGGTAGGTAAGGAAGGTTTTTCAAGTATTACGATATTATAAAGAAAAGACACTTGATCAAATGGATTCAATGTCAACGGAAAATCATTCTACAATATATATAAAAAAATAAATTAATTAATCACCATAAAAAAAAAAAAAATTTTTTTTACGGATATTTTGCACAAGAAGAAACATACTGTAGTCTTATCTTGTGTACACTCATATCTTGTAACAAAACTATAAGGAACATCTATTTTGATCTTGTCCACAGCAAATGAAGCAGTTGTTTCAGCGTTATTGTTTTCAATCTCAACTGCAATCATCAAAGCATTGTCTAATGGTGAAACGCTTATTGTTCGCATACGAACAGTTAAGGCATTCTTTAAAGATAATGATTTAAAACAATTTCTTTTTATAGGTTTAATTGGACCATATAAGCTTCGTTTGTTTACAGAATCTAATGTTTGTAAACGAGGTGGAGATATATGAAAAGGAGTAGAAAACCCTTCAAAAACTGGATCTATGATACGTAATATAAATATTTAATATTTTCCGAGGCAATAACATAAAATTATTCAACAATAAATAATAACATTATTTAAATACCATCCGCAAGACCTGCTAGCAAATTTATTTGGCCAAAAAGTTGTGGAGTATCTTGTTCATCGACCATTGAGGATGATGATTGCAAAGATACAGAAACATTCAAAGATAATGTTGGATTAGCAGAACGTGTTTTCATGAAATCTACGTATTAACAAAATGAAAATTTTAGATTTACACATTTCACATACAAGAGATTGGAAAAAAGAATGGTAATATTGATTAATTGATACTTACTTACAGACATCTTTAATGGTACGACACAAGTCCATCGATTTTTAAACTTGACAATAACCATTTTTTCATCATTTTTATTTGGGTCATAAGGGCATGAATAAATAACAGAACCTTCTGACATTTTATTTACTTTGTCAGAGGGATGGCAAGAAGGAGATCCAGGAATCGAAGGAGGAGTTGGAGTAGAACTAGAACGAGATCTAATCGAGTGATGATACGATCTAGGAATAGGAGAAAGTGATGGGACAGAAACATTATACGAATCGTTCAGAGAAGCTTCCACATTTATGTCCAGTTGATGAAAAAAAGCATCCACGGTAGCGAGATCATAGATGACAGAATCAGAAGGTAACCCAATAACAAGATAAAAACGTAATAGTTCATCTTTGATGATATGAAAGTATAAAGAAAAGAGTTATCAATTAAAATGGAATAAAATAAAAATGAAATGAAAAATAAAACTAATAAAATAAAAATAAAAATAAGGTTAAAAAAAACAGAACAATATATATATATATATACCATAAAAGGCTTGAGAACGGGTTTTAGCAGATAATATTGAAGGTACTCGTTCTTCAGTACATTCAAGAATACCATTCGGAACAATAATGTCCAATATGGCCTCGCTTAATAAGATTTCGCGAGATATCATGATAACTTTTGACAAATCGTAAGGATTTAGAAGACGGTAAAAAAAAGAGGATTATATTTATTGAAAAAAATAAAGTAGCATCGGCCGCAAACATATTATAATATACTAATCTTTGTGTATTTATTTATCAAAAATAAATTAATTCAGTAATTATTAAAATAAACTTTTTTTTATTGACGGATGTATATAATAGGCATTTATTATATATATGCGAGTTAATTTATGTATATTGTATAAAAATGGGGTTATGTATACTATATATAAAAATGGAACGGTGTAACTTTTCCGAGAAATTTCAATGAACTTATTTTATGAACCAATCAAAAAACAAATTAACCTTACCTGTAATAATTCAATTAAAAAAAAAAAAAACATTAAACATCAAACTTCGGGCACATCATTTACCACCGGCAATCTAATTCTAAATTGGATTAAGAATGATGGCGATGAAAAAAGGTAAGGATTAAAAGTCCTTTATTATCCAGAACAAGGAATAAAGCATTTTACAAAAAAAAAAAAAATTTTTGGGCAAGTCATGCAAAAACACGCCATAACGCTTTTTTTTTATGCTTACAATTAATACGCAAAAAGAGAAACTGGATCGTTTGGGTCGGAATTTCATATACAGTCTGACCTCTCTATAGTCACCTCCTATATAAGCACATTTTCTTTATGAGCATATTTTTTAAAAAACGAA